TATATGTATATATATCTTTTTATATTTACACATGTATACATATAGATATACATTTGTAAATATATACAGAGTTGAATACATGCAATATATGTCCACAATGTTAGGGTTTGTCCTGAAATGGTGGATGCGAATTCACATTACCTGCAATATTTGGGAAAATGGGAAACGTGAGGGTTTAGGGTGTCTCGGCTTGGAGATGCGAAATGAAGTGAACTTCACCGGATCCTAGTGGTCTCAATCTTTACCCTCTGGTAAACGTTTACAGTTTGCTATTGAAAATGGCCCATTTGGTTCGTGGATTTACCCATGACAAATGGTGATTTTCCATAGATATGTAAACGTTTACCAGAGGGTAGATTCTTTAGAAGTTTCCACTTGGCAAAATCTGGATGTGAAGCTTGTTCATCAGGATGTCCTCGCAGAAATTCCTGAAGTTTGACTACTTGACCTTGGTGCCCATGTGTCGCAAGCTGGTGAATGTATCGTTGCTCTCACCAGTTGAACGGCAGTGGGTTGACTCATACCACCTCCGAGTTTGGGAGGAGCTGAAAGATGAGCCACTGGGCCGAAAGTGATCCCCTCCACACGACGAGCCACTGACATAGTTTCTGACATACCATCTGTAAGTAATATTATATTATATACTATCTATATCATATATATATATATACCATGACAATAATATGGTAATATAGTCAATAATAATAGTATAATATGGTATTTATATTATGACACTTCTGACAATAATATATGGCATATATATTCTTACATTCCATTTGGCATTTATTCTGACATTCTATTCTGACATTCTAGCTGGCATCTTTACAGGCATTCATTCTGGCATTCTATTTAGCATCTATTCTTACATTCTCTATCTTGCATTTTAACTGGCAGTCTATCTATATGACATTCTATGTGACATCTTGCACTCGCTGAGCTCTGGCGCTGAGCTCTGGCGCTGAGCTCTGGCGCTCGCCGTTGAGGCCCGGCAGTGTCCTCTGAGATGTGGCGCTCGCGGTTGAGGGCGGAGTCCGCGGCTGCCGGAGGAGAAGGAGAAGAAGGAGAAGAAGGAGAAGGCGGAAACAACTCATGATAAAATCTAGAGACCCTCACCTGGCAGATGGGGAATCATCGAACTAATCATTGTATTTTGTTCTGCGGGGGGTGGTTTTCCTTTACTTGCTATTTTAGATCATGTGGGGTAGTGGTCAAAGTTGGGAAAACACTAAAATCCACCAAATTGATCCAAATTGTTTTTATTTATGGAAGCACCACTGAGATCCACTAGGTGAGCCTGCAGACAAAAAGATCCATGTTGATTCTGTTGCAGAAAAGTCACCTTGTTGATAAGACAAAGGTGGTGCCCCCCCCAGTTACAAGTCGGTTTATAACCCCCATGAACTCTAGATATATCTGCCATCAGTAGTTGTTATAGTTATAAACCAATTTACTTAGCAAACTAGAGCATCAGCTTGTATATACAGTACCATGGCCCAGATGTTGTTATCTTGTCACACCACTCCAAGGCTAACCGGTGACTCTCGCACGTGGCTATGGGAAGCTACCAGGCCGCTAGAAGCCTAAACCGTCTTCGCCGGGCTGGCGAACCACACCATCCCTGCAGAACATGCGGAGAGCAAGGATTATCAATTGAACGGTGTATAGCAAACCTGGTTGGTGGTTTCAAACATGAATTTTATTTTCCATAATATATGGGATAATCCTTCCCATTGACTAATATTTTTCAGAGGGGTTGAAACCACCAACCAGAAACAGCTTTGGACACCATGCCAGCAGAGGCAAAGTTTCCTTTGCTACATTTGAAGTGGCGAAAAAGCTGTTGAAGGGCTGAAGGCACTGGTAAATGTGTGCAGATTTTGCAGACAGTGTCTAACATTGTGGATGAGTTCGCACACTGGTCACAAGCGGATATGGCTGAGAGATGGCTGATATGAGTTTTGGTTACCACAGTTTACTGTAATATACATGCGTATACATGTTCATACATATCTAAATATACGTATAAATATTGTGTTGTTACATGGTGTACATTCAACATATATAGATAGATACATAGATACTTAGATACATGTTTACATATATATATATATAATTTAAGGGCTGCCGCCCCTGCCGCCGACCCCGGAATCAAACATCAGGAACGGCAGTTTGTGTCCTCGCATTGATGGGAATAGCAAGTTAGGAGTAGTAGTAGGAGTAGTAGTTGTAGGAGTAGGAGTAGGAGTAGTAGTAGTAGTAGTAGTAGTAGAGACTGCAGAGATCCTCCAGATCCTGCAGAGCAGATCCTGCAGAGCAGGGACCCAGGCAGAGACTCCAGATCCTCAGAGCCAAGATGCCAAACGTCACCTAAGGAATGCATAAAGATAGCAGGGACCCAGAACCTGCAGGGACTCCAGATCCTCAGAGCCAAGATGCCAAACGTCACCTAAGGAATGCATAAAGATAGGAAGAAAGAATGCAGCAAGTGACACTGGGCCCCAGAGACTCCAGATCCTCCAGATCCTGCAGAGCAGATCCTGCAGAGCAGGGACCAAGGCAGAGACTCCAGATCCTCAGAGCCAAGATGCCAAACGTCACCTAAGGAATGCATAAAGATAGCAGGGACCCAGAACCTGCAGAGACTCCAGATCCTCAGAGCCAAGATGCCAAACGTCACCCAAGGAAAGCATAAAGATGGGAAGAAAGAGTGCAGCGAGTGAGACTGTGGGCCCCCAAGGGCCCCAGAGACTCCAGATCCTCCAGATCCTGCAGAGCAGGGACCCAGACAGAGACTCCAGATCCTCAGAGCCAAGATGCCAAACGTCACCTAAGGAATGCATAAAGATAGCAGGGACCCAGAACCTGCAGAGACTCCAGATCCTCAGAGCCAAGATGCCAAACGTCACCTAAGGAATGCATAAAGATAGGAAGAAAGAGTGCAGCAAGTGACACTGGGCCCCAGAGACTCCAGATCCTCCAGATCCTGCAGAGCAGGGACCCAGAACCTGCAGAGACCCCAGATCCTTGCAGCAAGTGACACTGTGGACCCCCAAGGGCCCCAGAGACTGACCTAAGGAATGCATAAAGATAGCAGGGACCCAGAACCTGCAGAGACTCCAGATCTTCAGAGCTAAGATGCCAAAAGTCACCTAAGGAATGCATAAAGATAGGAAGAAAGAGTGCAGCAAGTGACACTGTGGACCCCCAAGGGCCCCAGAGACTCCAGATCCTCCAGATCCTGCAGAGCAGGGACCCAGGCAGAGACTCCAGATCCTCAGAGCCAAGATGCCAAACGTCACCTAAGGAATGCATAAAGATAGCAGGGACCCAGAACCTGCAGAGACTCCAGATCCTCAGAGCCAAGATGCCAAACGTCACCTAAGGAATGCATAAAGATAGGAAGAAAGAGTGCAGCAAGTGACACTGGGCCCCAGAGACTCCAGATCCTCCAGATCCTGCAGAGCAGGGACCCAGAACCTGCAGAGACCCCAGATCCTTGCAGCAAGTGACACTGTGGACCCCCAAGGGCCCCAGAGACTGCCCTAAGGAATGCATAAAGATAGGAAGAAAGAGTGCAGCAAGTGACACTGGGCCCCAGAGACTCCAGATCCTCCAGATCCTGCAGAGCAGGGACCCAGAACCTGCAGAGACCCCAGATCCTTGCAGCAAGTGACACTGTGGACCCCCAAGGGCCCCAGAGACTGACCTAAGGAATGCAGAAAGATAGCAGGGACCCAGAACCTGCAGAGACTCCAGATCCTCAGAGCCAAGATGCCAAACGTCACCAAAGGAATGCATAAAGATAGGAAGAAAGAGTGCAGCAAGTGACACTGGGCCCCAGAGACTCCAGATCCTCCAGATCCTGCAGAGCAGGGACCCAGACAGAGACTCCAGATCCTCAGAGCCAAGATGCCAAACGTCACCTAAGGAATGCATAAAGATAGCAGGGACCCAGAACCTGCAGAGACTCCAGATCCTCAGAGCCAAGATGCCAAACGTCACCTAAGGAATGCATAAAGATAGGAAGAAAGAGTGCAGCAAGTGACACTGGGCCCCAGAGACTCCAGATCCTCCAGATCCTGCAGAGCAGGGACCCAGAACCTGCAGAGACCCCAGATCCTTGCAGCAAGTGACACTGTGGACCCCCAAGGGCCCCAGAGACTGCCCTAAGGAATGCAGAAAGATAGCAGGGACCCAGAACCTGCAGAGACTCCAGATCTTCAGAGCCAAGATGCCAAACGTCACCTAAGGAAAGCAGAAAGATAGGAAGAAAGAGTGCAGCGAGTGAGACTGTGGGCCCCCAAGGGCCCCAGAGACTCCAGATCCCCCAGATCCTGCAGAGCAGGGACCCAGGCAGAGACTCCAGATCCTCAGAGCCAAGATGCCAAACGTCACCTAAGGAATGCATAAAGATAGCAGGGACCCAGAACCTGCAGAGACTCCAGATCCTCAGAGCCAAGATGCCAAACGTCACCTAAGGAATGCATAAAGAGATAGGAAGAAAGAGTGCAGCAAGTGACACTGGGCCCCAGAGACTCCAGATCCTCCAGATCCTGCAGAGCAGAGACCCCAGATCCTTGCAGCAAGTGACACTGTGGACCCCCAAGGGCCCCAGAGACTGCCCTAAGGAATGCATAAAGATAGGAAGAAAGAGTGCAGCAAGTGACACTGGGCCCCAGAGACTCCAGATCCTCCAGATCCTGCAGAGCAGGGACCCAGAACCTGCAGAGACCCCAGATCCTTGCAGCAAGTGACACTGTGGACCCCCAAGGGCCCCAGAGACTGACCTAAGGAATGCAGAAAGATAGCAGGGACCCAGAACCTGCAGAGACTCCAGATCCTCAGAGCCAAGATGCCAAACGTCACCAAAGGAATGCATAAAGATAGGAAGAAAGAGTGCAGCAAGTGACACTGGGCCCCAGAGACTCCAGATCCTCCAGATCCTGCAGAGCAGGGACCCAGACAGAGACTCCAGATCCTCAGAGCCAAGATGCCAAACGTCACCTAAGGAATGCATAAAGATAGCAGGGACCCAGAACCTGCAGAGACTCCAGATCCTCAGAGCCAAGATGCCAAACGTCACCTAAGGAATGCATAAAGATAGGAAGAAAGAGTGCAGCAAGTGACACTGGGCCCCAGAGACTCCAGATCCTCCAGATCCTGCAGAGCAGGGACCCAGAACCTGCAGAGACACCCAGATCCTTGCAGCAAGTGACACTGTGGACCCCCAAGGGCCCCAGAGACTGCCCTAAGGAATGCAGAAAGATAGCAGGGACCCAGAACCTGCAGAGACTCCAGATCTTCAGAGCCAAGATGCCAAACGTCACCTAAGGAAAGCATAAAGATAGGAAGAAAGAGTGCAGCGAGTGAGACTGTGGGCCCCCATCCAGATCCTCCAGATCCTGCAGAGCAGGGACCCAGGCAGAGACTCCAGATCCTCAGAGCCAAGATGCCAAACGTCACCTAAGGAATGCATAAAGATAGGAAGAAAGAGTGCAGCAAGTGACACTGGGCCCCAGAGACTCCAGATCCTCCAGATCCTGCAGGGACCCAGAACCTGCAGAGACCCCAGATCCTTGCAGCAAGTGACACTGTGGACACCCAAGGGCCCCAGAGACTGCCCTAAGGAATGCAGAAAGATAGCAGGGACCCAGAACCTGCAGAGACTCCAGATCTTCAGAGCCAAGATGCCAAACGTCACCTAAGGAAAGCAGAAAGATAGGAAGAAAGAGTGCAGCGAGTGAGACTGTGGGCCCCCCCAGAGACTCCAGATCCTCCAGATCCTGCAGAGCAGGGACCCAGGCAGAGACTCCAGATCCTCAGAGCCAAGATGCCAAACGTCACCTAAGGAATGCATAAAGATAGCAGGGACCCAGAACCTGCAGAGACCCCAGATCCTCAGAGCCAAGATGCCAAACGTCACCTAAGGAATGCATAAAGATAGGAAGAAAGAGTGCAGCAAGTGACACTGGGCCCCAGAGACTCCAGATCCTCCAGATCCTGCAGAGCCTGCAGAGACCCCAGATCCTTGCAGCAAGTGACACTGTGGACCCCCAAGGGCCCCAGAGACTGCCCTAAGGAATGCATAAAGATAGGAAGAAAGAGTGCAGCAAGCGACACTGGGCCCCAGAGACTCCAGATCCTCCAGATCCTGCAGAGCAGGGACCCAGAACCTGCAGAGACCCCAGATCCTTGCAGCAAGTGACACTGTGGACCCCCAAGGGCCCCAGAGACTGACCTAAGGAATGCAGAAAGATAGCAGGGACCCAGAACCTGCAGAGACTCCAGATCCTCAGAGCCAAGATGCCAAACGTCACCAAAGGAATGCATAAAGATAGGAAGAAAGAGTGCAGCAAGTGACACTGGGCCCCAGAGACTCCAGATCCTCCAGATCCTGCAGAGCAGGGACCCAGACAGAGACTCCAGATCCTCAGAGCCAAGATGCCAAACGTCACCTAAGGAATGCATAAAGATAGCAGGGACCCAGAACCTGCAGAGACTCCAGATCCTCAGAGCCAAGATGCCAAACGTCACCTAAGGAATGCATAAAGATAGGAAGAAAGAGTGCAGCAAGTGACACTGGGCCCCAGAGACTCCAGATCCTCCAGATCCTGCAGAGCAGACCCAGAACCTGCAGAGACCCCAGATCCTTGCAGCAAGTGACACTGTGGACCCCCAAGGCAGAGACC